CAAGAGGGGGGTTTTTGGAATTTGACCATACCTCAGGGGGGTGTTTGTAAGTTACCCTGATACTTATTAGTTGAAGATGATCATAGTGTAACACAGTTCCCCCACTGTTTTAGATTAAAACCGCCAAATACGACAATATCCTTATTGGTCCAGAATATAAGTTATACGAAAAGAAAATCAAAAAATCATTTTCTTTAGTTGAAGACCAAGAAAAAAGGAAACAAACCATCCCGAACCCCTCTTCTAAAGAGGACGAGGAGGAATAGGAAGGAGGAAGAGGAGGAAAATGAGAGGAGGTTAGTGAGACACACGATCAGCTTCAATGGAGTTTTTTTTTTTTTTTTTTTTTGAGTAAAAATGAAGTTTTTTTTTTTATACTAATAAGCACATGGGGTATTTGTTAATTTTTTTATGACAAAGGAAAATCATGCACAGTTACGAATTTCACAGGTGTAGTATATGCAATAAGCTAATTTTTTTAGTAAATAAAATTTGAACTAATGAACTTCAGTCGAAACTCAAAACCTAATATAAGAGCATTTTTTTTTCCTGTAATCATGTCCATATCTAGGGTACTTCTATTGATATATTGACGAATAGGGATGATTACCTTATAATCTCCGTCCCGTCGGCTAATATAACGGTTATGCACAAGTTTTAAAAATTAAACTCATAGCGAGTACAGGGTGGGTGGTACCCCCTTAGACGGAGACATCGACTATAACTCGAGTGTGGCCGAGTTATAGTTGAAGTGGTGCGAAGAGGTGTTGGCACAAGACATGCTACACATGGGCCAAATGGTGGCCGAGAGATGGGCAAGCATTGAGGTGCTTGGCCGATAACAACAAGGCAAGGGTTTCGAGTGATTGACAAGCATTGAGGTGTTTGGCCGAGAAAAGCATGGCAAGTGTGGGCAAGGCAAGCGGGCTGAATAGCACGCGTGCGGGCATAGTCGATCCTTGGGCACGTGCGCGCGCCGATTGGGCAAGTCGGGCAGCTAATTGACTTGGGAGTTACGGAAGGCAGTTGCGGAGCGGTTGGCACCAGCAATGACTTAGAAACCGTTCATTTTATGTTGTATTAGTGAGCCAAGTGGCAGGCCTGCGTCCCGCCATGTGTCCCTTGGCAGTTTAGTGTGTCAACTGCATCGTATCTTGTATTTATCGGCCCTTGAGCGCACAAATCCTACCCATTCAGATAGAGGGACTCAGATTGCAATTGTTAGCATCTGTTGTGAGGATTCGTTGCGTGCACCAAGGACTTTCCTTGTATTATTTGTGAGTGAATCAATAAAGATTGAGCGTTGCTCGTAAATTGCTTGTGTTGTTCGATTTCCGCTGCGTACTTGTGATTGTTGCTGTTTATTTGATACAACGGTGGTGCCATACGTTTGTGTGAAGAAATATTGAGTGGACTGACTGATTAAGAGCGTAAAACATACCGTACGGTGGAAAAAAATTTAATTGTAAATTAACCCCTGTAACAGCGGGTATGACCTGCCTGTTATCCAAATTACTTACAGATTTTTTATATTTGTATTAGTTTATAAACTTTATATATTATAAAAATACTATTTTTAAGATATATTTTAAATAAATAAATTATAAATATATAAAAATAATATTCTTTCACGGATATCTAACGAGGTGGGTAAACGAAATATGGGCGAGTATAATAAAATTACACTCGAAACATCTACGGGGACGACGAGTACGAGTCGGGTCACTTGCTAGTAGGACGGATGCAGGTCCACAACCCGGCCCATACGGGCCATGGCCATCCGTATTGATGAGATTGTGTTTCAATATTTCTTACGACATCAGTACGCTTGGCTAATACTTTCTCGATTCCATAACATTTATCGTTTTTGAGAATTAATTTTGTTCCATATTATCAGTCGCTTTAAAATTTCAATGCAACATTGATTGCAAATTATCATTTTTACTCTTGTTACATCTCACCAACACTCTCTCTTATTAATTTGTGGCAAGGGCATCTTAGTCTAACATACATTTTTCCCTAAAATCAAATCAAATGTAATAAAATCTTTAATCCTGGTGCAAATCTAAAAAAAAAAAACGACAAGTAAAAAGGAACGAAAGGAGTATAGGTTATATCTTTCATTTGATTTACGAGCGACTCTAGAAGGTGATATCCAATGGCTCCGGTTCCCCGTGTCAATAAAAAAAAATACAAAGTGGAGGAATATTATTTAACTTAAGGGTAAATTATGAAACAGCCTTGAGCTTAGGTTAAATAACTAAAAACACCCCATTTATTTATAATAAACAAAATTCCTATCTGATTAACTGTTGATCGAGTTTTTTTACAGAAAATGTGTACAGTCTAGTCTACCCTTCTGTTAAATAGATGAAAAATCAATGAAAATATCTGAAATTGTGTAAAGTCTATTCCATGGAATAAAAAAAATCCATGATAAGTCACATTGTACAAACCTCAGGGGGGTTTTTGTTACGAAAAGGTGGGGGCATTTTTCGTTATTTAGCCTTAGTTCAGGGGGTTTTTCGTAATTTACCCTTAATTTAATCCGGCCTCTCTGATTAAAATTAAATAAAATAATTGGCCCTTAATAAATTGAGAAAAATACAAATAAAAGGAGGTTCCTCCAATGTTGAAAGAATTAAAAACAAAGAGAAAAAAATCTGGAGGAACGGAGGAATAGAGAAGATCCTCCGCCGTAGAGAGAAAAAATGGAGGCGGCGATGGGGTTGATGCGGAGAATTCCGCCGAAGCATTCGGAAGCTGCTTTATCTGCACTCTTGAGCCTTTTACCCCACCATTCCTCCGATCTTCTCTCTCAAGTCGACCAGCCTCTTCAGGTCAATTTCAATATATATATATATATATATATACACACATCTGTATGTATATATACATCACATTTTCGTAACTTAGAATTATATATGGGTTAGAGGATGAATTGAACTAGGCTGGATTCTGGAATTGTGTGGTTTGTGCCAATTTTGTTGCTGTTAAATGTTTTGAAGAAATGAGGATTGTGTTGGGAGACTAGGGTTTTTTTCGTTTTGATTGATGTAATGTCTGGGTATTTGCTGTTTTGTTGAGTTGTTGAGTTGTTGACTCGTTAATTAGTCGATTTTTAGGTTAGGTTTGTAATTGGGGTTCAATTATGAATAGCTCGAGAAGAATTGACTTTGAGATTATACCCAATTTTATATGCTGCATTTAACTTGAAGCCGAAATTGGGGTTGTTGAGGTTTAAATTTTGGATTTCGTTAATTTCTGTGAGAATTTGAAGGGCCGAGAGTTCACTTCGTTGGGAAACAAGGGAGTCGAATGCATTTTCTGTGTCGGTTCGTAACTGGTCACTCTTTGTCGGCATTTTGGACTCTAATCTTTCGTCTTTCTTGAATTTCTAGGAGAGATCTTGTTTTTATTTTGAATTTTCCGTTCTAATGAATTTTCTGTCTTAGTTTTAGGGATGAAATAGTTCGTCTTATTTGTTTCCTTTTGTTATTTCCCTAAATCTTAAAGCATTGTAATTAGTATTACTGTGATGGGCAGACTTCTTCGTATGAGAAATATGTAACTATGGCCGTATTTTGATCGATTTATTGAATCCAATGTAATTGTCATGGGAAATCGTTTGTGTCGATCAATCAAAGACTGTTAGATTCTTGATGGTGCGTAACATGACATTGTCTGAAATAACTTCTTTTTTTAATCAACATGAATTCGTAGAATTGTTTCTGGTCTAAAAGTATATCTACCATCATCTTCTCTTTTCAATCGCCAAAGAAGGTAATTTTCGGGGAGTGGAGGCGAAGTATTCCTGTTTCGATCTATTGCAGCAAATAAGCTTAGAACTTTTCCCCATTACGTCATTTTATGTTGACTTTCCTTTGTTTCCATCTGAACACTGCTGCATATTTAGCTAATTACTGTATATCGGTAAGATATATTATATCTAAATGTAATGTAGTTCCTCAGGTTTTATGTGATGTGGATAGCGGAAAGGAGTTCATATTATGCGAGTATAACAGAGATGCAGACTCTTATAGGTACATGTGATACGGTACTTCATAAATTCTTGTTATCCGATGATAATTAATGTAAACATTTTCCAAAAATATCCAAATCTTAATTCAAAATACTGTTGAAATAAAAATAAAAAAAATCACTCGATCACGTGTTAGCATTATTGAAAGGAGCTATTGGCCGAATTCCCTTCGTGGTTTATATGGGCACTTGCTTTATTGTTGCTAATATTTTTCTTTTTCTTTTTTCGTTTTATTGGCATAAGAAAAGACATTATTATGTATGGTTATCTTGAAGGTCACCCTGGTCAAACAAATACCATCCCGCATTAGACGACGGGCCCCATCCATCTGCAGAGTTGAGGAAACTTGAAATCGAAGCAAACGATGTCTTCACTATCTATCGTGACCAGTGAGGTCCTTTACTTACCTCGTAGTTTCTCTTTCTTCACTTTATCTATCTACAAATACGCTGCTTCCCTCGTATTTGCTCAAATTTTTAAAATGAGACAAAATACAGCGCTGTTTTATATTTTTTCTCTAGTTGTATTTTGTTTCTCTAAGAGCTTTTTCTAGCAGATTGAATTGACCAATCAATGGATAGGTATTATGAAGGTGGCATTTCATCGGTGTACATGTGGGAGGATGAAAACGAAGGGTTTATAGCTTGCTTCTTAATCAAGAAAGGTAATGATTTTTTTTTCCCTCCGAGTTTTGCAGTAAACTGTGCAATTCTTTTTCCTGTGCAAAAGTTTTGCAACGGTCTGTTTTTTCTTGTTGAAGATGGTTCGAAGACTGCACACGGCAGAAGAGGTTATCTACAAGAAGGATCTTGGGATGCAATACACGTGATTGAGGTACATTAACTACCTCATCAGACTGACTGGAAAAAAGGCTTAGAAATAAAAATAAAAATAAAACTTTTTATATGTATTTGTAGGTGGGACCCGAAGAGGAAGTAAATGCTCGTTACTGTTTGACTAGTTCTGTAATGCTTTCATTGACCACAAACGATGAGTCTGAAGGCACGTTTAATTTGTCGGGGTCAATTAGAAGACAGGTATTTTGTTTTCGAAGAGGAACTATAAATATGCCAGTCCTGCCAATATTTTTTATTACATCACATTTTTTTCTTCTCCTATTTGCATAGATGAATATGGAGCTCTCAGTTGCAGAGGGGCATTTATGTAATATGGGACGGATGATCGAAGAAATGGAGAGCAAGTTGAGAAACTCATTGGATCAGGTATTTGAATTTATTTATTTCGTTCTCATGTTACTCTATTGTTTCGTCGAATTTTGCCAGAAATTGAGTAAAACTTTGTACTTATTTTTGCAGGTCTATTTTGGGAAGACGAAAGAGATGGTTTGTACACTGCGACCACCTGCTGAAATAGTTCAGACGAAATTTCCGGATAGCCGAATACCATGATAAGCGAGCGTCACATATGATATATTCTGAAATATTAATGATTGTTGTGAAAAATTAAGGTTTCATTTTCAAACACTGGAGATTGTGTTATTGTGAACTTATGAAATGCTGTTACATCTGTGATTGGTTTAAAAACCAGTAAAAACTGGCGTCTGTTGTTCAAAATTATTTCTTCACATTCCTCTTGATTATGTTCCCGTTACCATTAGATTATTTAATTTTATCTTGGCAACCAAACGAGACCTAAGTAAAATTGCTAAATTAATAGCGGTTGGGACATTACATGCTTTTGTTGCTTCAAATAATTGAATCGTACCCGTTTTGATATGTAAACAACGTGTTCCTTAATGTGTATGTGGTTCCAACATTTACGACATTACCCTTATAAAGCCGTACCCGTAACATTTTGTTATCGGCTAAACTCTAATCACATATTTTTTGGGGTTCGGATTTATATCAAACTTCCAAGTACGAACATATTTTTACTTGCTATAGAGAATTTGTGATCCTATGCAACAACACTTAAATTTGTTGAGACCTATTAATGTTCGTATTATATCTGCATTAATCTTGTGGGTTGAATTTGGGATGAAATTTACGAATCCCGCCGATTTTGATTCGAATATTTTCGATATTAGAACTGTATTTTCCATTAACACTTCTAATGCAATTTTAATTGTGAGAGTACTTCTCCGATGTGTTTTTTCATAATCACTTAAAAATCCATTTTACTTTGTACTTCATATTATAAGTGACCAAAAAAATAGAAATTTCGAACACCGTCGATTATAATTAGAAAATATATAATTTTGGGACAATTTTCTTCATTCCGATCTCCAACACTTGAATTTACAAATTTCCAAAATTTATGGAAACTAATTGGAATTAATTTTTCATTTTCGAATCAAAATTGTATTTTTTTCTTCTTCTGAAAGTACTAGTTTCGATTCAATCTGATTATATATATACATATGAATTTCAATGTTATTAGAAATTCTCTTATCTTAAAGTTATAATATCTATTATTTTTTATCAAAATATTAAAAATTGTTCTATCCAAAACAATTTTATTTATTTTTTATTTAAAATAAAATTAGTTTAACAATATTCCTTTATCAATTACTTACAACGAACGCATAGAAAAATGGTAGGAAATAAAACACTTCACACACTTTACAGTTTGCAATTTCAAATGGA